ACACACATTTAAATTGATAAACTTGTTGCGATGTGATGCTACTATCATTTACATGGTTTGTAGATTTTCGATGAAGCATGAACTTCGTGTTTTTTATTATCATGACCTCTACTATGTAATATGTTTTGCTGATAAAAGATTTGAGCCTTTGTTACAATTTAAGGCTATTTGACTCACCTCTGAACGGTAGGTTAATGTAAACGACGTTTGCTGCTCTGAAAGTGTAGTAGGTTTCACAACATTGTGACCTTTTCATCGAATTATGAATGTGAATTGGTAGTTATTTACCATCAACGTTTCATTGAACAACTTCACTTCATATTCAATAGTGTCTTTAGTAATAAATAAGATCAATCCCACAAATAAGCCCTTTGATCAAATCCTATTTATATTGCACTGGAAAATAACAGTGATCACTAAAGTACTACTGACTTGTGCAAGTTGGCTTTCTAAACATTGATTGTTTCATTAAACCATCTTCTCATTTGGTGGCAAATTTCACATCATTTTTCTTACATAACCTTTACTACTTTCTCCTACACTATGTTTGTTTAGTGGACCTATTATTTTTCATATATAAATGTTCTGAATAAGTAGTTTAAAAATGTATGATCGAAATGTATTGTGCTAATATATATCACATAGTTCTGATCATCTCCACCTTCTCATTACACTATCCAAATTTATCAGCATGAACCTGTTATGGATGTGGCCTAAGCAGTTCTGTAGTGCTCGGTATTCGATAGATTCCTAAAATTCGTATACTACCGTTACTAGACAACGCCTAACGGTGGATAAATCAGAAGGCGAATACGAAGCGTTGATTGAGTTGATTATTGCACAGCACACACACACACACACAGATCACAAAACCACAGGAATTAGACGCGAAAGTGAAAATGACAAGAGAGTACCGAAAAGCGAACACGAGCAAATGAATAGGATCAAAATATTCACATATATACATAGGGAAATGAATTAGTTACCGAATTATTTAATAGGCTAACATTAAAGCGAGTACAATCGATATGCAAGAAGACGGTAAGCAATGCTCAAGCCTAAATGCTCATATAAACGCTACAATAAAAGCATAAGAGTACATATCAGTTATTGCCATACGAACGACTCCGTCTGTTAAATAACTTCATTAACTGTCAACAAACTCAAATATAGGTCTAGTGCTACAGACTAGCTGCTTCGCTTGCGCAATTGAGCATTAGCAATCATAATGTGACCTTCTCCATATATATATATCGATACATTTGTTTGAGATCATGCCTTATATCTTCTTCGTCATTTTATAATTTGTCTAGCCTATTATGAACATCATTGTCAACCTTATGAATGCTAAATGTATGCTAAATGTTCATTTATAATTAAAATAATAATAATCTTTTTAGTTTTGACAAATTTTGGCCGAATTTTTATAAGTGTTGAGCAATTTTTTTGTTTTTTACTTGATTCATAAATCATAATAAAAATAATTTAGTTATTTGAAATAAAAAATATTGTATATGTTATGAATAAGTTCCATTACAAAAATTGACACTTGATTGAGAAAATATCTAGAAAAAAAAACAAAATTGAATGTGAATCACTGAACATGTTTTGTTTTGTTTTTATTTTGATTTGTGATTTTTTGAGTAATTAAACATTTGTCATATGATTAAATGATCAATTTAGGGTTGAATGATTGAAATTTTCTCATTTTCATATATTATCAATGCGTACAACTAATAAAATATTGATTTTGTTAACTTCACCGATCCTGTATTGTTCTTTAAAAAAAAAATTGAAGTTTTATTTGGTTAGTGATAGATAACTATTCTATTTCAACTTGATATTTTTGATTAGTGTTTTGCTCAGCAAAGTTTTTGGTTGTACAACTTTCCACTTAAGACAGTTGTATTTTTGTGGAAAAAAAGAAAGAAGCAAAATACTTTGATACAACACAACATGCACTGACCCAAATCACACATGATGGAGAAGCTTTGGAGGATGTAGAAAGCTTAACATATTCGGGCAGCATCATTCATGAGCAAGGTAGATCTTATGCATATGTGAAGGCACGGATCGGCAAAGCAAGAACAGCATTTTTGCAATTAAAGGACATGTGGAACTCAAAACATCTGTCAACCAATACCAAAGTCAGAATTTTCAATACAAATGTCAAAACATTTCAACTGTATGGGGCAGAAACTTGGAGAACTACGAAGGCCATCATCCAGAAGATACAGGTATTCATTAACAATTGTCTACGCAAGACACTTCGAATCTGTTGGCCAGACACCATCAACAACAACATACTGTGAGAGAGAACAAACCAAAATGCAGCGGGGTAAGAAATCAGGAAAAACTGCTGGAGGTGAAAAGGGCACATATTGAGGGAAGCACCCAACTGCGTCACAAAACAAGCTCTCACTTGGAATCCTCAGGACCAAAATGAAAAGTAGAAGACTGGAAAACACATTACGCCTAGAATCGGAGACAGACATGAAAAAAATGAACAACAATTGGACAGAACTGGAAAAGAAGGCGCAGGACAGAGTAGGCTTTAGAATGCTGGTCGGTGACCTGTACTCCTGTGAAGATAAATAAGTAAGTAAGTAAGTAAGTAAGTAAGTCAGCGAAATATATGAAATCTGAAAAATTAAATCATTTACAGGGTCTTTTGAATACACTAATAAATTTTCACAAAGCTAATGACAAATCCTTATAAATCGTTGCAAGATTTCTAATGATTCTTAAAGTGATCTCATTTCAACATTGAAAAATCATATTGAAATCCATGATATCTAATTAATTTTTATCAAAACACCAAACTCTACTTAATGCTATATTTTACTTTACTGCTACTTTAGAAATTCATTTCATACTTGGTTATTAAATTTAAAAGTAAAATATCAACAACAAACTGAATTCGTTCAACATCACTATCATTTATTGCTTATGAAAAGAACAATAAAAGCATTTCAAATGGTTAGTTTCATTGAATTCAGTTTCTTTTTTGTTGTTGTTGTCTGTAATTAACAGTAATTTAATTTGTAGCTTGATTTATTCATCAAATGAAGTGGCTGTGGTATATAAATAAGGCCAATTGACATTTGGATTCAAGGAATTCAACGGTGTTTGATAGTAAGATGATGAAGAAAATTTATTGCTCAGGTAGAGATGATTATGATGAAGTTTCACTTCTCTGAGCTGAATGCTTTGATTATCGAGCTTTCATTGTTCCATGAAAGCACTCTGACAAAAAATGGACTCAGTCATGTTAGTAGGTGTAGACTACCTGGTTGTGGTCCGTGAGAGGATAGTAACCGATGGTTAGAGACTCTGAATGACATTGCTCAAAACCATTTGAAATGGTGCAGGTGCATTCATTCTCTCAAATCCTAATCTTTTGAATTTCTCATGACCGTTTTTACCCTCTTTTTCTAACTGATTCCTCTGGGTGTATACATCTCGAATGATATATTTGATCATTGATCTCTTTAATTACTGCTAATACTTCCTTTAGTTCTGTTACTATGGGATTTGAATCGATAATAGCGTCTCTATGTTAATGTGGTAAACCAACTTGAATTGATGTATGTACCTATGTACAAAGCTCTACGTTGTAACTGACTGACTGATCAGTAAAAATTAATTTAAATCATTTTTATATGGTCAGATTGTATTTTGTGCTTAATTTCATAATCTTGTTTTTGAATATATACCTAAACAAGAAGTAGAGATAGAGAGACGAACATGAATTAATTTATTATTATTATAAAGCTACTAACAAGAGACCTGGAATTACGTTTAAGACTACAATCGATCAGTCTCTTTAGTTTATATGCATCTTGTGATGATCATGTCTTTAGGTTACAAGCATTTTTAACAAGTAGCTATCCGAATTCAGTAGCTAAGTGGATAACGTGATAGCGTTTAAAGCGAGCAGTACTGAGTTTGAATCCTAGAGTGGATACCAACTCTGAGATTCAGGTGTGTCCAGCTGACAATTCCAAAATGGGAAGAAATGTGCATCCTAGCTTCTATTGCTAGTCACTATCAACTTCCGCTAAGCATACACTAATAATTTATTAGCCATTAACTTTAAATTATCCATATATCAATTGCACTTTCTAAACCCAGTTTAATTGAAAATCAGTTTCCTCAAATTGATAGATAAACATAAAATTACAGCATATATTGTACATTGATAAATCACTCATAAGTGTGGAAAATAGAATTATCAGTAATTAATGAACGTAAATTAAGTACTGTGCCTAAAATACAGATTTATTATTTTCTGGTTAGCGATTGTTTGGCGAGTTAGTTTTCTATGGAATGGGGTTCGCCAACCCCATGCCAAACACTGCTCCTTTATCCGGGCAATAACTCCAGGGGACTCCAGGCGGAGTTTCAAATACGGATAAGCCACTCAAGATGAATTTTCAAATAGCGGCAAACGTAAGTAGAACCAATCAAAGGAAGTAGAGAAGAATATGTTTGTCAGCATAAAAACTAATTGAGATATAAAATTTGCGGTATTAGACAGATTAAATAAGTGGTTTATTATGTGAAAGTATCACAACTGTTCAGCAAACAAATCACAAAAAAATGATCAAGTATAACTCAAACTATTGATTAATAATAAGTAATATCAGTCAGTATGCAGTAAAGTCAAACACAAACTGAAGACAGTAAAAGAGCTAATTGAATGTGAGATAAATAACAACTCAAGAAAATACTTTTCTCACATTTCGAAACTTCACAATTTTTTTGTTCATGAGCCTATCGTGTATAAACTGTTAAATATGTTACACAGTTTTTAGTTAAAAAAAGCCATACCAGGTAACTTTTCCGAGAACTTGTGGTGATATTTGTATTTAGTTTATATTGTTTGCTGAAAACTGTCATATGAAAACAGATAAAGTGAATTAAGAGTTTTTGTTGTTGAGTATCTACTTAAATATCATTTGCTTCCTCTGAGAGAGATGCTTTAATCGTATTACTTCAATTGTTGTTCTACACAACACTGTCAACATGAACTTCAAGACAAAGTGTAATGTTGGAAATTATTCATATATCTCTAACATGTTATCCTATTGATAAGGAGTATGATGACGTAATCTTGAATGACAAGATGGTCTCACCATTAAATCATAAAGTTCAGTAAAATCAAGTCGGAAATTCCTCTTCCGAACTATAAGTTCTTTTCTTGTAAAAAAACACTTATTGAACGATGTTCCACAAGTGAACAAATATTTCCGTTTCTCTGTATTCAGTATTATTCATTGTTAGGCTTTTTGTGAGTATAGACATTTTCATTATAAGATTGTAACGATTATTTAGCTCCTTTGAGGCAGTTACTCAGTGAAGACAATGAATGACGGTCGTGTAATATTGTGGATTGGTTGAAGTTAAATATTAAGACCATTCAGATGCCAAGTCAGTGGTTTTGAGCTTAAGCTTTCACGTGCGGAGGTCTCGGGTTCGATCCCCACACTGGGGATCTTTGGTGCGCGTTGTTGATGAATGCCACACTAGGACGAAACAGACGTCCAGTTCTCCCAGGCTTCTTATAGTAGTATAACACTGATTGATTCATGATTTCAAAGTCTGTGTAGGAATCTGCGACTTTGTCTTTTATTTTATTGTTATTATTATTATTATTATTATTATTATTACTGTGCAGGCCTGTGAGATATCTAAAAGAAATGAAGCTTATGCCGATGAATGGTATCATGGAAAACTATTACGACATTGTTTTTCGTTTTGGAGTCAATATATAACTGATCAGTGTATTCGAGAATGGGAACTAGAAGACATTGCGTTGGGACATTATAACAGGTAGAACATATGTATATATATATGATTTTTCACGGTAACCTCGACAAGTGAATTTTGAAATTGTGTTTGTAATTTAACGTAAAAAGCGATAATCGCTATTGTGTGACAAATTATTAGTGTATTTTTTGTCGGGGACGTTAGATCCCCAGAACTCACTTCATACAGGTCCTCATTTTGGATGTTGTGCTTTCGCGCATGGGCTGTTTAGTCGACTTTGAGATTACATTTCCCACCAGGAAAATCGCTGACGATTATTGGTTGATGGAGTATTTTAGCACGCTATTTTTGTGGCTGTCCCAAGAACATTTCTATCATGTATAAATAAACTCGATTTGTGTGCTTGTCAAACTCATATTTTCTGGGTGCTTGTAGAATACACTTACTAAGTCTTGTCAAGACTTCTTCCTCTACTTAGTGGAGCCTTGGGCCGCTCGGATTAGAGTAGCCTATCGTGTCACTGGATCATTTGTCTTCGCTCTCGTTTACCGACTAAGGTGAACTCGTAATAGTTTCAAGCACATTGACTGAAGAGCATAACATTTTTAAAGAAAATAGAAAGCCCAGTATATTTATATAACATATAATACTTGAGTTTTCAACGACTTACTTACTCCTGTCACCCTAGTAGAGGAGCATAGGCCACTGATTATTAAACCATGAAAAAATTCTTACTACAGGAAAGATTATTTACCGGGTAATAAACCTCAAAACTAATAAAATCATCAAGTTGGTTTTTTTCCCGGAAAATTTCTCGTCATGAACTAAAAAAAATATTTACGAGTTTTTCGCGTCCTCTGTTTAAAATACACAGAATAATATAAATTAGTCTATTTTTCGGACCCATGACTTTCGGTCTTGCGCGCGAAAGCCTAACCCGATTCATGGATTCTAGTGAGAAGACATGATAAGTGGAGGCAGTTGTCCATCGAAGACAATGGATTGAAATAAGATACTAACACCATTGGATGCCGGCTCATTGGTCCAGATGTGAAGCTATCGCGCGCGAGACTGGAGGTCTTGGGTCTGATTCCTACAGACTGGGGTCATAGATGGGGCACTAGTGTAGATTCCCATTTAAGGACGAAACCGTGTCCAGTGCTTATAGGTTTATAATGTTGGTCTAATAATGATCGCTTCACAATTTCATTGAATAAAAGTTTTGTCAAGAATAATCATACTATGCCAAAACTATCCTTTTGTTTAAAAGTACACAGATTTGTATTCAGTAATTTTGTTAATCTAATTTCATATAATCTTTGATTTCATTCATTCAACAAATATTACCAATAACTTATCCGATTGCATATTGTCCTTATTTTACTGAAATTTTTTTTCCAGAAAATAATCTTATTCTCTTTTTTTTCTTGTCATCTAGGCATTTATTGTATATTTATTTTAAATTATGGACTCATTATCCAACCATACAACGTGTACAACGTGATCGAGAATATCGTCGTGAACAATTTCGTAAATGTATCCTTGATATTATACCGGATTTTAATCCTCCACCTGAACAAGATGTTAGTGAAATGGACTGAACAACATTTAAAAAAAAACTCTTTTGTGAATGTTATAACAATGTTTGATTTAAACAAATGTTTTTGTTTTTCTTATTTGCAAAATAAATTGTAATTATTGAATATTGTGAAAAAATTTGTTTATTTTTAAATGATATATATATATTTGATTGATTAAATAAACTGACATATTATTTAGTTGTTCACGATCTGACTCCGATTTGGACGAACAATTGAATAGGCTATAAAAATAAATCCTCCCTTCAGTTTCCGTGTATCATTCTTAGGTGGACCCAGGTTCGTGTGACGACTTAATCGGAAAGTCCAATACGGTTTTATTTGGACGAATTTATTTCATACGCTCGCTTATACAGACAGACAAGAATGAGATGGGTAAAAGTGAAGTGTAGTGAAGCAGAGAAGGGAGTAGGTCACTTCCATGTAATGAGGTAACATTAAGTATTTTATAATCAAACATAGATAGGTTAGACATGTGATAAACGGAGCAAGCAATGCTTTTACGTATAGGCTGTTGACAACCAATCTCAAACTAATTCTGTCCTCCGCTCTACTTCACACTTCCAACCAGTTGCCACTCATTTTTTTGATGTGTTGGCCTTGACGATTCCAAGTGAGGACTTGTCTTGTGATGTAGTTGTTGGCTTTCCTAATTGTATATCCTATCCAGCCCCAGTATTTTTCCCTGGTTTCTCCCTCAACCGGAAACTGGTTTGTTCCCTTGTAGTGTGTCGATTTCGACGTTTTCCTAATGTTTGGTAATTTGCTCGTCCAGACAATCGTTACTAACTAGCGTCTGACGGTTATAAATCACAAGGCGAAGCGGATAAGCAGTGCATAAAACGAATGAAGCGACGTCGATTGGAGAAGGCTGTTGAGGCAACTCCAAGAGATAGAGCGTGACTAAGAATATATAGTCAAACAAAAAATACGACAGACATGTGACAAGCGAAATGGGCATTCATACATGAATAAAAGTGACGAATGATTGACAAGGTCAAAGGCAAGCGAGACAAGTCATGTGAGCTTATGCAAACCAGACAATAATAAAAACGTATGGTACATATAAATTGTTGCTATACAAATGGCTTAGTTAAATAAATTAATCGAATGGGCTTAACCAAATTAAATGTAAGCGAACCCGAATATATGTGGAGGCACTACACCCAACCAAAGTAGGTTATTGTTGATGGTGTCTGGCCAACGGATATGAAGTACCTTGCTTAGACCACTGTAATTTAACACCTCTGTCTTTTGGATAATGACTTTTTTAGTTCTCTAAGTCTCGACTCGAAACGGTAGAATAGTTTTGACGTTCGTATTGAAAATTATGGTACTTCTGTATAATTCTTCTTCAATACACATAATTCCCTTTATCATCTTGAAGATAACATGAACAATGAATGATTTCAGAGGCATTCGTTTTACTTCATCTGGTTCTTGTCAGTCTCTTCAAACCTGTAATCATTAAAATCGTAGTTGCAAGTTGGATTTAAATTATTTACATGGAAGAGTTCACTTGGAATTTGCTATAATTATACATCACTATGGTATAGCGATGTTGCAAATGATTTTAATGGATTGGATAAAGGATTGTAAATACATGCTTTACACAGAAGAACATTCTACCGTATTGATAATAACACAAGGATGGAGAGAAAGATACAAGTGAATATATGCTGGTAACAAGTAAGAATATAGTGAGTAAATCTCACTTAGTTAAGATAAGATTACTCATCTACAGTAAGACAGTCAAAATGAAAAGTAATGATGTGATTGGTTTCAAAGAAAGAGTTGGACAAAATCTAATGATCTAATGAAGGGATATTTATCACCAGGGTAAATAAAGATTCACAATCATCACTTTTTGAATGCATGAATCAGGAGGTTTCAGGTGACTGATAGCAAAATATATCTTCAGCAAACTTTCGAAGACTGGATGGAGCTTGGCTGTTTGTCAACCAAATTGAAAGTTTGTTTGGTATCAATCAACCTGAGGTTCTGTATAAAACAGATGTTTCGTGACTGCTACTTACTTACTTACGTCTGTTACCCCCAATCGATCAGAGACCGCTAACCAGTTTTCTCCAACCAACTCTGTCCTGGGCTTACATTTCCAGTATTATCCACTTTTCGTTCATTCTTCTCATATCTTTCTCTATTTCTCGGTGTAATATGTTCCTTGGCCTTCCTCTTTTCCTTTTGCTTTGAGGATTCCGAGTGAGAGCTTGTCTTTTGATGCAGTTTGGTGCTTTTCGTAGTGTGTGTCCTATCCACTTCCACCGCTTCTTCCTCATTTCCCCCTCCACTGGAATCTGGTTTGTTTTCTCCCACAGTTCGTTGTTGCTGATGGTGTCTGTCCAACGAATACGAAGTATGTTGCGCAGACAGCAGTTAATAAAAACTTGTATCTTCTGGATGATAGCCTTTCGTAGTACTCTAAGTTTCCGCTCCATACAGTAGAACTGTCTTCACATTTGTATTGAAAATCCTTATTTTGGTTTTGGTTGAAAGTTGTTTGGAGTTGCAGATATTTTTCAACTGTAGAAATGCAGCCCTTGATTTGCCAATCCGCGCCCTCACATCTGCATCCGATCCACCTTGGTTGTCGATGATGCTGCCCAGATATGTAAAGGTGTTGACGTCCTCGAATGCGTGTCCATCAAGAGTGATTTGATTGGTGCATGTTGTGTCGCATTGTAGAATTTTGCTTTTTCCTTTATGTATGTTGAGACCTACTGCTGCAGAGGCTGCAGCTACACTGGTCGTCTTCTCTTGCATTTGTTGTTGTGTGTGAGACAGAAGCGCCTGGTCATCCGAGAAGTCCAGATCATCCAGCTGCGTCCTAACTGTCCAGTTGATACCGTGCTTCCCTCCAGATTTCGACGTCTTCATGATCCAGTCGATCACCAGGAGAGAGAGAAAGGGTGAGAGTAAGCAACCTTGCCTGATACTGGTCTTCACCTCGAAAGAGTCTGTTAGCTGTTCAAAAAATTCTAAGGTATGCTGTCCATCCTGTTTGACCAATGTAATTGCTTTAGCAGGTAGGTACACGTAAATTTATAGATACAGTTGGCATTATCATGAAAAAGTTGCTTGTCAAACTTTGATTGGATTATTGGACGTTTAGTTTTATAGAGTATTAACTGTGTTTTCTGCCATGTAAATACTAGCTAATTCAGTTATAAGACTTCTGTTGATTGTTCTTGCAACATCCTCACCTACGAAGTTGAGATTTAGAAATATTGGTTTTTTGTGTATTCATCAATTCTCCCTCTAGTTTGTCAGAGGTACATATCCTTTCTACTCTATAAAAGTGTATTGACCAACTCTTTCTTGTAACTGATTAGACAAAAACCGTCGAAATTCAGGTAAAGACCATTCGAAGTATTTTTTTGATAAACTAAACCTTGAACTGTTCCATCTCTCCTCTGTTGAGTGGTCATATCAAGAAAGTGGAAAATGTCACTCTTTTCGTTTTTCATAGTAACTTCTACGTTGGTTGACCTTCCTTTTTTAACTTATCTTCTGAATGATCAACTCAATAAATCACAATTTTCGTCAGAGAGTGGCAGCATATACGTGTTGGGGACTTTAGATTCCGTGGACTCACTTCGAAAAAGTCCTAATTTTGTAATTAAGTTTTGAAATTTTTCATTTTTTATGTTTTCGCGCATAAGTCGCCTAGTTGACCTTCAACTTGCATTTCCAACTCGGAAAATTCTTCACTGTCACTGGTTGATGGATTATTTAAGTAAGTCATTTTGTGGCTCTTCCAAGGGTGTTGCTATCATTGTATAAATAAGCCTGATTTGTGTGCTTAGCCACCTGATAATCTCTGAGTGCTTGTAGAATACATTTTCTACGCCTTATCAAGACTTTTTGATCTAGATAGCGGGGCATGGGACTAACGGATTAGAATAGCCTATTGTGTCAGTGCATCGTTGATCTTCGTCCCATTAATTGAGTAGGTGAACTCGTAATAGTTTCAAGCATTTCCATACGTTATTAGTTTCTCTACAAGTAGCTGACAGACTAAATGGCCTGAATGACTGCTGGAAAGTTCATGGTCTTTTCAATGTATTTTTACCTTGTTGATGATTATACAACGTCTTGGAACTGTCGATATAATTTGTTATAATTTGTCCATCTCCTACATTTACTTCTGAGATTTATCAATTATAGTGTTTTTTCCGTTATGTAATCATATGATTTATATGTTTAAATATAAGAGAGAATTTGAGATTACTGATTTAACTTTCTGATATTTAATTGACCGTTTGAAAATATTCACATTTACATAACCCTTTATTGACGTGATTGTCACACTTACCGAACTACTCAGTTTTGATAAGCTTGAACTATTACGAGTTCACCTTACTCGGTAAACGGAACGAGGATCAGTGATTCTGTGATATGATAAGCTTATCTATACAATGATAAAACACATTCAGTTAGAGCCACAAAATAGCATACTAAAATAATCCATCAACCAATCGCAGTCAAGGATTTTTCGAGTGAGAAATGTAAGCTGAAGGTCAAAATAAGCGTCCTTGACGCGAAAATATAAAAATTCAAAGTTTCAAAATAAAATAATAAAATTAGGGCTTTTTCCAAGTGAATTCTAGGGATCCGGCGTCCCCAAAATCTTTACATGTTGATGTTGTGGATAATGGCAAAACAGTAATAAATGATCATTCATATTTCCATAGTTTTATGTTAGACAAATCTAAATACCACCCTAATATCTGATCAGTACATATTATTAATATTACATAATTATTAATGATTAAAATTATTTTAGAAAAAATACACTTTATTGAATAATCTTTTTAATTTTTTCTATTAATAATTTCTCTGTTTATAGTCAATTATCATCTTGTATTAATAAAATGAACACAGTTCTCATTGATGAAAAGAAAGGAAAATCTTTAAACATTTTCACATTCTACGTAGCACTGCTTGATCATAATCTTTTGTTAAAATCTTTTGAATTTTCGAATTCTGCAAAATAAAAATAAAAAAAACAAAGTTCCCTTTAAAAAATTCAACAATTCATGACTACTAGTTTGTTTAAATAAGTAGTTATTAAAAAAATCAAGAAAAAACACAAACAGAACAGTACTGGTTTCAGTATAAAGTTGAGTTATTTCTTTACTCTACTGTATTCATTATTGTGAAGTAATAACAATGTAGACTGTGGTGAAGTGTGGTGAATTCATTTCATTGTTTCTTGAACATCTAAATCCTCTTTTCATACGCATTAATTTTCTAGAGAAGATAATGATTTTTAATCATTTGAAATCATCAATCAATCATTGTTAGACCACCATTAGAAACCTGGAAACACTGAAAGACGGCCGTTTCTTCCTGTTATGGGACTCATCAGCAGTGCGCATCCACGACTCCTGCACCTCGCAGGATTCGAACCCGGGACCTTCGGTATTGTGCGCGAACGCCTAACCATCGGACCACTGGGCCGGCATCCAACGGTGATGAGTCCCATACCAGGGCGACACGGCCGTCCAGTGCTTCCAGGTTTCTAATGGTGATCTAACAATCATTGATCGATGATTTCAAATGATGGTTGAATGGTCTGTCAGTCTGATCATTTAATTATTAGTCCAATGACAAGCACTACTTTACTTTCAAGAAATAATATTACAATAATTATAAAAGGTATTATTTCGTTAATTAATATTGCTCTCATCTTTTGTCCATCGTTAAGAATAGGCATAGATTCAATGCGATTGATCATGTTATTACACTGTATGTACATTCTGATGATTTTGTTGTTACTACTAAACACTGAATAAGTTTTAGTTTCCCGGAATCTTGGACTCCAACTTTTTACGAACATTTGAATAAGCTATGAAATAAATCTTTCATTTGATTTCCGTATATCATTCTCAGGCGAACCCAGTTTGTGCAACAATGTTTATTAAAACCCCATTACGATTTATTTCAAATGAGTTTATTTCACAGATTCACGTAAGTGGATAGACAATAGAATGCGAAGAGTCAATATGAAGCGAAGCAAAGTAAAGGTGAGAAGGAGAGTGGTCCAATTCAATGTAACGAGGCATGACGAAGTATTTATAATCAGACAAAAATAGACCAAGACCTTTGATAAACGAAATAAGCATTGCACATAGGCACTTGAATAAAAACAGCTAAAATTTAAAGTGAATAACCAACAAGGTCGAAAGATATGTGAAGAAATCGAGAAGAAGAATGGAAAAATGAATTTGTCCGAAGGCTGAGACAATAAGCTATATGGACTCAGCTGATAAGTACACACACACAACCAAGACTCCTTGTAGAAAACTGTACATTGATTCATTATTTAGTGCATATACCATGCAAAATTCAATTAGTAGGATAATAATTTGCTAAAATCATTGAAAGTCAATATAAATGACTTTATGAGACTATGTAATTCACATTACACATTGTCATTAGTTAAGTAATCATTGAAATTTTAAAAAATCAAACATTGGATGACTTTTTTTTCCATGTATGTGATTACTTCGAAATGCCCAGTCGTCTAACCTTATCGAAATTGAACTTTTAACTGTCAAATCTAGTGGAAAGTGCTACATTTTTAAAATTATTAAGCTGGAATTTAATGAATTTCATTTTGGTGCAGAGTTTGTGTTTACATACATTTGAAATCATCAATCAATCATTGTTAGACCACCACTAGAAACCTGGAAGCACTGGACCGCCGTTTCATACTGGTATGGGACTCATCAGCAGTGCGCATCTACGATTCTTGCTCCTCGCGGTGTTCGAACCCAGGACCTTCGGTATTGTGCGCGAACGCCTAACCATTGGACCACTGGGCCGGCTTCCAGCGGCGCGAAATCCCTAGATAAATCAGAGTTAGACATTAACACCATTGGATGCCGGCTCAGTGGTCCAGCGGTTATGTGTTCGCGCACAATACCGAAGGTCCCGTTTTCGAACCCTGCGAGGAGCAAGAGTCGTGGATGCGCAATGCTGATGAGTCCCATACCAGGACGAAACGGCTGTCTTTCAGAGCCCCCATGTTTCTAATAGTGGTCTAACAATGATTGATTGATGATTTTAAATATGAAATTCATTTTATCTTTTTTTTTCACTAAAAATTAGCATTTTTAAACATTATAAGGCCATAAAATATTAAAATACTATGATTTATGAATGAGATTTTTCATGTATTTCTATACGTTAACCGACAATCATCAGTCTAAAATGGATATCGATTATCGCAAATTGTCAACATCTAATTCATGAGTATTGTGGTGTTTACGATATTAAAATTGTAGTATTTACGTATTGAGTAAAACCTCGTCTGGAACCCCTTTGGGGCTACTGCAGGTCCCAAGGCCAGATAAAGGAGTAGGGTTGGGTAATGGGGTTAACAACCCCATCCCTTAGAAAACCAGCTCCCTTAAAAAAACTCTAACCAGAAAAAATATAATTCAAACCATTTAAACTCTGCCTTGGAAGTTAGAAGATCTTCATTTACAAGAGTTTTGACGTCTCATGATGAAATCCGAGTTCCTTCAACAGTCACTAGACTAATGCTCCTTCTGACAATCAATCGGAGCAGCCATTTATTTTAAAATGTATTGTTGAGTAAACTGACCAGTAAATCGAATGTATTATAAGGATAAACAACTACTCTACTAAATTTTTTTCATCGTTTTCAATGTCACTACATAAATGAAAAAATCTGAAAAATAAAACACACCGCAACAAAGAAAATAATAGAAAATACTCACTTGACGAATTGATTTTTTCAATTGTTGTATCAATTTATTTTGTAGACCAATCATAAAAATCGCTTTAACTCTTAATGATGTCATTGCATTCGGTTGGTTAGCTATGATATATTCCATTTCCGATGTCTAAAATATATGTATAGGAGGAAATTATTGTTTATTGATTTTTCATGATAAAGTCATGGAGAGTGCTGTTTATTACTGAAATCATGAATCAATATCATTGTTAGACCTGATCAGGGGAGTTTAACCCTGCCGGGTGCAAGCATTGTAGTGCTTCCACATATATTCGAGTTCGATTACGTTTAATTTGGTTAAGTCTTTCCGATCAATTTATTTAACCAAGCCATTTGTATTGTAACAATTTATATGTACCATTCGTTCTTATTATTGTCTGGTTTATATGAGCTCACATGATGTGTCCCACTTGTCATTTGACCTTGTCAGCTATTCGTCGCTTTTATTCATATGTGCCTATTTCGGTTGTCTCATGTCTGTCTTATTTTTGTCTGACTATATATTCTCAGTCATGCTCTATCTCTTGGAGTTGGCTCATTAGCCTTCTCCAACGCTCTCCGTACGATTCGCTTCAGTCGCTCATTCGCTCGCCAGTGTACACAATAATGGTGATCCCGCCGTCGAAATCAGCCACCACTACAGCATCAACTAACATCCAAGTGGCCTAAAGGTTAAGGGCATTTACGCGCAAAACCGAAAGTCCTAGGTTCGGATGATGCAAGTAGCAGGAGTCGTTGAGTCACACTGCTGATGGGTCTCCCCCATACCGGAGTATCCTAAACAGCAATGAGAAGATTCAACTAACCAATGCGAACGAATTAAGTTTCAACTCAATACAACAAACCACTGGCTAATTGAACTCACTAGTCAAGTTGATAACGTGATGGAGTTTGAAACAAACGGCATTAGATTCATTCATATCTTGAAGTAAATTATTATTTCATATGTTTAAGATTATTTTCATTTTATATTGAAATTTATGCGTAAAACTTGATACATTATCTTTTGCATTATTTATTGAGTGTTAACTGACTAATTTTATTTATTGTGGTTGATGTGGGCTCAACAATCCATTTATGGCGGTCGGTACTACATATATATATATATTCTTAAACTTCATCTACTACTTGTCTTGATAATCGTCAACAGATAACTCCCAGTGGTGTATTAATCAGAAGACGAATACGAAACGTTGATTCCCTTTGTTATTATTATCGCACCACTCACAGATCACGAAAACGTAGGCACACGAAGCGAAAAAGATATACGAGTGAACGAGCAAGCGAGCGAGTGAATAGAGTTAAAATGTCCACGTATATAAGTACTTAGGAAAATGTATGAGTCATTGAATTATTTAAGAGAATGACTATGTGTGTAGGTGGTAAGCAATGCTGAATCATATCTACTCATACATATGTGACAATGATAAAAGTACAATAGTACAGATAAGTTATTGTTATACAAATGACTCTATCGGTTAAATAAGTTAAGCAAAAAGGGCTTAACCAAATTCAATGTGTAAACAAACTCAAATGTAGGTGAGTTGCTGTGATATCTTATTACTGAGTGTGTAGTATTTTCTTATATCAAAAGAATAACTTTTCTCACATACTGACCACCGATATTAGGTTGAGTACCAATGAAAGGTATAGTAGGATTCGACACAGTTTTGTAACTACCGAGGAATGACTGTCGTCTGGACATTCACGAAAGAGGGAATTAAGGTTTTTCTGTTTACCTGATGTGAACTACTAGGCTTATAGTCTATTAACCCAAACAAAATAATCTTGGTAAATCAAGGTGTTCAGATATTAAAAGTTTTTTGAATCTCACAGAACATTTTTTACGTCAATAATTGGTATTATTATTTTATGAGCAACATTTTGACTTTAATTGTAGACTAACTGATATGCTTGAAACTACTTCGAGTTCACCTTAGTCGGTAAACAGAGCTCGGATAAATGATCCAGTGACACGATAGGCTATTCTAGTCCGATCGTCCGAGGCCCCACTAACTGGAGGAAGAAGTCTTGACAAGGCGTAGAAAATGTATTTTACAAGCACTCAAAAAGTACCAGGTGGCTAAGCACACAAATCAGGCTTATTTATACAATGATAGCAACGTCCTTGGGAGAGCCACAAAATAACGTACTTAAATAATCCATCAACCAATGACATTCAAGAATTTTCCGGCCGGGAAATGTGATTTGAAGGTCAACTAAGCGTCTTATGCGCGAAAACATAAAAAATTCAAAATTTCAAAACTTAATTACATAATTAGGACTTTTTCGAAGTGAGTTCATAGGATCTAACGTCCCCCAACACTAACTAACTTTTAATCAATCAGCTTACATTATAATCTTTCTATAAATAGGTATTTTAAAGAATCATTATCTAATTCCTAAAACACAATAAAAGAGAATCACTTTCTTACTAAACTTTCAATAAATTGTTTCTTCATCATTTTCAGCCGTTTACAAGTTGATCTAATAATAATAGCAGCATTAACAGAGATCCTATTTCTTGATCAAATTACTTGACAGCAGCATCATTTGGCAATTTTCTCCTTTCTTCATCTTCTTTCATTTTTAAATATTTCCTAAGTTTTTCTTTCCTATATACAAGTATTATAATATCAGTTCTATGTGTGAAATACCTTTGTTTTCGATATATTTCTTGTATACGTTTCGTGGCTTTCATTTGGGCGTCATTTGCGAATTTACCGTCATTTACATCTTTAGACATTTTGTTCCGGTCCATCTTTATAATTAATCAATAATAATAATAATATTTTATTTGAAAATTTTTACTAATAAACACAATAAGTATATTTGAAATCATCAGTCAATCATTGTTAGACCACCACTAGAAACCTGGAAGCACTAGACGGTCGTTTCGTCCTGGTATGGGACTCATCAGCAGTGAGCATCCACGACTCCTGCACCTCGCAGGACTGGAACCCAGGGCCTTCGGTATTGTGCGCGATCGCCTAACCATCGGACCACTGAGCCGGCATCCAACGGTGTTAATGTCTAACTCTGATTGATCTAGGGATTTTGCGCGACCTCACCCATTTGTCTTTGGTAGTTACTGCCCCACAATAAGTATAATTGAACAATAATTTCAAACTTTAATAAGTTTACTTCTAGTTTGTAGGCATGCTTGTGCGAGGGTCAGCGTGAAGTATAGCATGGCAGGCAGAGTTTGGAAGATCAAAGACAACAGTAACACAAAGATGAGATAAAAACAATTTAGTAATAGAAGTCAGTAAACAGTTCTCATGTGGAGAGAACTAAGGTTATCTAGTTTCCTGTCATTACAAATCACCTTCATTATTCTTCAGACATTAAACTCCATGATATTTGTTCAATGATGTGACTTGTTATTATGTAATTGACTATTATTATTATTATTATTGTTTTTAGTGATAAGTTCGTTGTATTCCAAGGTTATTGATGGTTAATACATATTGCTAACTTCTATTCAAAATAAATAACTATTCTGAAAGTCCTGTCAACCTCATCTTTAATTATTATTAACGGTAAAGTGGTTATGTATATTAGTTCATAGTGTGTGTACTTTTATATCGAGCCCACAGGGCTTGTTTCAACCTTTGGACAATTTAATTAACCCATTCTACCCGAGTTATCTGACCTTGCCAACTATTAGCTTTTATTTTAGTTGTTTTTATTCGAGTATGTGTTTGCACTGCTTACTTCAGTTATTACATGTCTAGCTTATTTTGTCTGACGATAAATGATTAGTCATGTCTCATCTCATTGAGTTGGCTCAGTTGCATTCTCCACTTTGCTTCGCTTTCCTTTCGAGAGCTATGTATTCTCATATCTGTCTGCGCAAATGTTTGCATGAAATAAATTCATTGACGAGACCGTATTTGGCTTCATATTAACGCCGTCGCACAAATGTGGTCCGCTTAAGTATGATAGACAGAAAGTGAAGGAGAGATTTATTTCATAGCGTATCTAATTGTTTGTAAATATTGGAGTCAGATAGCAGGCCGTTAAAACGGTGAGCCGTATTCAAAACCCAACGCAGTCACAAGCTACTGTTATATGGATTACTCCATAGAACCTGTTTTCATTCGAATAAATCGAATAAATAACTACAAAACCTTTACTCGATACAATGGTAGTAAAGTAAAAACAAACCTATAGTTGACAGGTTTGACTAGTCCAATATTCGATAGCTTAATAGTTACCAACATGCATACTATCATGTCCTGAATGTTAGTTGGATTCCAACAATCAACTTGCCAAATAGTTACTAATTTCAGTCACTCTAGACACTGCATTGCACTGAATTGTGACCGAATTGTAATTCAGCTGACAAATCCTATCACTACTAAGACGAGAGCAATATGTAATCCGTTCATACTGGATGATGCAGTGATATAAACATCCTGGTTTTAACAAGAAGTCAGTCAGTTAAGACTTGAATAATCACTTCATCGTGTATTCTACAATCACGATGATGATAACACAGTTCATACAGGCAATATCAGTCTTCTTATGATTTCAATCATACTACTATGTTGGATGAAACCTTAAGTTATCACAAATATCTCCTCTATTCAATTAATATCAGATATGATCCATAGATTAAGATTTTACCTATTCAAATAACAGGTTCGAAGATTTTTCTACATTATGTTAAAAATCATTCAACGGCATAGATTTCGATGATGCTTCTATAGAATTTGTTCAAATTTATAGCTCACGAAAAGAATATCAACCATATTCATCTCTCTAAGTTTTATGGATGAATCACAGTTGTCTCTCTCTATCTTTCTACATAAAATGATTAGATTAAATTGGAAGCTAGAAGTAAAAATTGAAGGTCATAGATAACTAGGAAGTTTCATATTTAAGTTAAGCTCAACAAACAGCTAGCATGTAGGGAAGATAGATGCTCAAGCTACTGACCAATGAGAAAAGTGATGATCAAGTACAAGGTCAAAGGTCATGTAAAGAGGAGCATAAAATCGAAATATACATGGAATAGAAAAAATTTTTGTACCAATCAATGACATTTTGATGGGATACGTAATAATAATAATAATAATCTATCCCCTTTTTCTATTAGTGTTCGTCAGTCTCACAATAATACTATTTAGCTAATAGAATGCATTACAAACCAGATTTTCAAGTAGATTCAGGGTTAAACAAATATTGACCATCGAACGAAATAAATTTATCACTGATATTTTGTAGAATGATATATAATCAATATTCGAAATTCTTCATCCGCATACGGAAAGTAAGAGGATGGTCACTGAGAATGGATATGTGGTGGCCGGTGTCTCACCAGTTTTGAGGCCGTCAGTATTCGATATATTCTTAGACTTCTCTTACTGCTCCTCCTGATAACCGTCATGAGATAACGCCCAACAGCGTATCAATCAAAAGACGAATTCCAAGCGTTGAATGCATTTATTGTCACACCACAAACAGACCAGCCAAACCACAGGCAGACGAAGCACAATGATGTGTGAGTGCTGAAGAGCAAGCAGGCGGGTGAGTGAGCGAGCACTTGTAAGGTGTGCATATATGTACATAGGGAAATGAATGGGTCATCGAATTATATAACAGGCTAATATTAAAGCGAATAGAATGAATATGCACGTAGGCGATAAGTAATGCTCAATCATACTTGCTCATACAAACGCTACAGTAATAAAAGCGCAGTGGTACTGATAAGTTATTACTATACTAATAACTGTTCAATAAGTTAATCAAAAGAGCTTAAGCAAATTAAATGTGTACAAACTCAAATGTATGTGAAGGTACCCCAGGTAACGTTCGGAAAGCGACAGTGTTGTGGAAAATAACAGAATATCAATTCAAAGCTATCACGTTATTTCTTCAAATGCGGAAAATGAAATCTTCGAGAATAACCTAATAGAATGTACAATGAGAAACACAAATTGAAAAATACAAAGGGAAAAAGTAAGACGAAGTAGCTTGAGTAAGTAAAGCACCAATAGCAATCCAAACTTATAAATATAACTGATCTGAGGATTCTACCTTGCTAATCAGGTTACATAAAGTATTTTTGAACTGGAGAACAGAATCTGTTTAACATCGCCTTACGGAAAATGATATAAACATTAAGAAACGATAAACCTCGAATCATGAGGTATCCATCTGTCGATCACATTGCGATTAAAGTAAACAAAATGTCTTTCGAGCAAAGGAATATGAATGAAATCCTAACAGATACTGTCAGAAAATATTACACAGATATCTGTAAAGAAAAGGATTCCTAATAAGATAAGTAGTTCAGATTGAACGGGGTTTTAAATGATAGCCAACACAATTACAGAAAGATGAAAGTAATGTGAAAAACTGTTGAAATTAGACAAGTAACCCAAAACGTACTGATTTGAATGGGATGAATAAACTTGCATAGAATCTCAAACTACTGAATAATAAATAAGTAGTGTAACACGCGTATCGCAAATAAAAAATTATTCCCAGTTATTGACATCCTTTCGAAATAATACTTCGTATTTCGTCCATGATTGATTTGTGTTAAGTATATATAATTTTCTAAGTCAGATTTTACCAAAATTTCACAGATATTGATTTTTATTATGATAATTTTTCAACTGGTCATTATAAGTGGATAAGTATGTTTTTCGGTTATGTTACTTTGTTGAACATCAACTTTCTCCATTTCTATAAATTTTATATTATAGTTTTATGTGTGTAATAATGATAATGATGGTAAATTTTAGTTTTTATAGATTAGAATAAGGGTACAGAGAATTGGCTGATGGGGTTTTGCATCTTCATTAACTGAGTTGGTTGGGATATGTATTTTGGATAGCCAGTCACAGCTTTCTTCGGCTCGTGGGGTTTTCTGAGGCATCAGTAAGTTAAGAGAAAACTAGACATAATCAAACCAAGATGTGGGCTCAGTGGCTGAAGTATTAGATTGAGCTGTTTCGATAGATACAGACCATTTGATTGGAGTTCTTACGGTAATCATAACCAATGATTGAAGTTAGTGGATAGCATGGCTCAGAATCCATAGGAGAAAAGGGAGACTAAAGAACATCGTACGCCAAGAATAAGAAGCAGCGATTAAAAGCAGTTTGGATGGAACTGGAAAGGAAGGCACAAGATCGAGTAGGTTGGAGAATGCTGGTTGGTGGCCTATTTTCCACGAGAGGTAACAGGTGTATGGTACGTACGTATGACTCAGAATTAGACTAAGTAGGAAAGATACATCCACTCTAAAACTATCCTTTATTTTTATTCCAGGAATTAATTATTTTTTCTGAGATTATATTGACTATACCAAAAGTTTCCTACTTTAACTGTTACTGTAACTATTTATATTACTCTGACATCTACATTGATCATGCGCTCTACTGTGTCGGTATAATGTGACAGCTTGAACAAATGCACATTTATAGAGAACACTGAATTGTATATCAGAGTCATTCCATGCTGTCTGTAGAATTAGCTGTTGAACACTTTTAGATTAATTTTTATTAGCTCAATTCATTGAAATGTTTGTATTAATGGAAGTGGTTGAAAAAACCAAAAAAATTTCACGATTATAACATTCTACCCTCATTAATGAAAATCGTGGAAAACCATACTTCTGAGGAACTATTCCCCTATCTCTTGAAGTGCTTATTTACTTACTCACCTACGCTACTTACCCCTGATTCAAAGTAAGCCACTCACCAGTATTCTCAAACCACTTATGTCCTG